CAACATGCTATCTTTCTCTTCTTGATCTTTTCCATACATGATTGGCTAAATGATGATGGTCTCTTGTTTTCATAGTAGCAATTTTAAGAGCGAGGACCTGTTACATGGATTTTATTACATACAATCGTTTTACTTTTGTGGTTTTGAAGTTTGGTACAAAAGCTTTATCTCAAAATAGACCCTCATGAGTCTTGTTTCTGCACTGTAATGTAGTATATTAGTGGGAATCATTATAATAGAGTAGAGTAGAGCAGCCAAATAGACCCTTGCTGTAAACTTCTTGTAGTCTGTCTTCAAGGTCCTGTGGAGAACAGCCTGCACCTTTGCACTGACCACACGGTGCACTTCACACGTGTACGGCCGTGCTCCAACCACCACCGTGTTTCTCACACTACTGTGGCACCGTCGCACCAAGACGCCACATTCATTTCACACACATTATCCACTGCTGTGTATTGGATAGGCTTTCATTGGGCCCGTTCAGTACAAAATACCTGTGTCAAACTTATTAGAAGATGGGTCCGATTGTGTATTATCACTTATTCTGCAACTATTCAGAATATCTTTGCTCATCATCAGTCATTATTACATACTTTTTGACATTTGCTGAAGGCAACAGGCTACCTTTAGTTAGCAAGGTGCTTGTTAAACTGCCCAGCACTGTGGAAACATTGTTTCTCTCCCTTGGGGGTGTGTAATTGTCTCGGTGTTTGTTGTGTCTGTCTGTTGGCAGGATCATGCAAAAACTACAGGATAAATTTAGATTAAATGTTGTCTGTGAATAGAATGCGATCGAGATGATCCATAGTCTTGGCGGGGGAATGTGCTCTCCGAGTGCATGTTCAAGTGTGAGCCAAATGAACAAGTCTTTCAGTTTTTGAATTACAAAGTAGGAACATTGCTTGCATAAGTAATTCAATGGTCACATTCCAGATGCACTTGAATCAATTTACAACATGACACCTTTGTCATTATGCATCAAACTTATGTAGCGCTATTTTGAAATATGAAAAAAATATGGAAAAGTAAGATGGAACGGATGGATTTTGAGAAGTGATTTAAAGCTTTGAAGTGAATCCGAGTTTCTGATGGGTTGTGGGAGTGAGTTCCAGAGAGTGGGGGCAGCTGGGGAGAAGGCATGGGCCCCCAAGGTTCGTCTCTTTGTTCTGAAGGGAGTGAGGAGGTTGGAGTCAGCAGATCTGAGGCGGCAGGAGGGACAGTGCTGATGGAGGAGGTCCGTGAGATATGAGAGGGCCAGGTAATGGAGGGACTCGTGGGTGGTTAGGTGGACTTTTACAGAATGTGGTATGAAACTTCTGTCTGGAGGAGATGAAGATTACTACAGAGGATAGTGAGAAGGAGGGTCAAAAACGGCCTACTTTATTGGCCCTCAGCCTTTTATTACCACAAATCTAATGATAAAACATAATTCATCTTCAAAAAAGGAAGATACAAGCATTTTTAAATATTACATTGTCTATGAAACTGTACAAAAGCATAAATGTAATTACGGCTGCAATTCCACAAACTCAACTAGTGTTTACATGGAAAGGTTGTTCTTTTGACTCGCTTTGAATTTATTTCAATAGAATCACACAGGGGACGCGTCACAAGTTATACTTTGCATTCTTTAGAAACATTATTCAGAAAAAAACACTCAAATTTAGGACCTTTTAGTCAATAAGACTAAAAGGGGTGCCTCGTTATATTGTGAGCATACTAGCATACTGGTATGCTGCCCATCAGGTAATGCAGGTGAGATGGGGGAGATCCATGTCGGATCCATTCTCTGTCAATAATGGGGTCCGGCAGGGAGGAATTCTGTCTCCTGTTTTATTCTCCCTGTATATGAATGATCTGTCTATAGAGTTAAGTGCATGTAAAACAGGCTGTATGATTGGGCCAATTCAAGTGAATCATCTGATGTATGCGGATGACCTTGCTGTATTCAGCCCAAGTAGTGCAGGTCTACAGGACCTTCTCAATGTCGGCTCTAAGTATGGAGTAGATTTTGATGTAAGGTATAATGCAAGAGTATGATAATGTTATGTAGAACTAAAGATGATGTAAATGTAAACTTTCCTCCATTTAAATTGTATGTTCCAAATATAAATACTTGGGCCATTTTATTTGTGATGACTTGTCTGATGATGAGGACATTTTTAGGCAATGTTGTATGATGTACGCTCAGGCGAACATGCTCGAGCGCTAGTTTGGGGCCTGTACAGTGCAGGTGAAAAAGACACTTTTTAAAGCATACTGTACGTCATTATATACGGCACACTTATGGACTAAATGTGGCATACAATGACTGCTTGAGGATTTTATTGAAAAGGCTACGATGGGAAAGTGCAAGTACTTTGTGTCAGCTCAGCTGGAATCAGGACATTTCAGGCAGCCATTCGATGTCTTATGTACAGTTTTATCTGTCGGCTCAATGAAAGCCAGAATATTATTGACATAAGCCTTACAAATGTCAAATTCAGTGCCACACGGTACCAGTCAGATCTGTGGAGACACTGGTTCAGCTGTTTGCTCTGAGAAGTGAGGCTTATTGTTGTGAATATATGTGTTTTTATGTGATGTGTTTGTCTTATCCTGGACCATGAGTCTGTATAAAAGCTTGATGATGATGATGATGAATACAAACATAGACAAAGAGTATTCTGTTCTGTAATATTGAGAACCATTTTATTGTTATGACTTACATAACTTGGTATTGATATCAAAGTTGTTTGTATTATTAGAGTAAAGTCTATTCTAAGTTTTCATATCATTATGAGAAAGTTGAAAATATGTCATAATTGTATGAATGTTTGGGACAGTGGTGTGAGGTGGTGAGTGTCTCGTGCTAATAGGCCTCACTCACTGACCACATTCCACAGCTGCATGACTCGAGGTCCAGCACAGCACCTCCATCGCCCGATATTTGTGCGCTGGAAGAGCTTCAAAACATAACCAATGTTCAAAGGGTTGGAAGACAGGCTGTTCTTCCAAAATGCTATGAAAATCTAATGTTAGGATTCAAGGCATTTTATTCTGGGTTACGTGTCGGGATGAAGTCATCTTCCTATAGAGCTGTTTCAGAGGTAGATTTGATCTTTGCAATTATCTAGACAAGCCTGGGCAAATCTCTAAATGAAATTCTTTGATACCATTGAACCATTGAATCCTATAGGGACCGAAACTGGTAATGTTAAATTCACCTTTATGCACCCAAACTACAACATTTTTTTGACAGTAGTAATGTGAAAGCTGTGCTGAATAAAATGATCCATCTCCTATGTTTCTTTTTTCATTTCCTCCTTCAAACATGCACAAATAATGCATCAGAATAAGGATTGTCATGAGTTACAGTATTCTTTGGGTTCCCCGGGTCCACAGCACACAGCAGGTGCGGATGTGTCCTTGAGTTGGACACTAAATCCTGACCAGCTTGAGGGGAGTATAGTGAGACTGACCCTGCACCAGTGTGCCCTCAGCAGAGTGGGCCAACCAGGGACAAATATCATTCTTTTGTCCCCAGTGATGAATAATATATCACTATTTTATTACACTTCAGCTCCTTCATAAGACTCAGCTGCCCCCAACACGTATCTGTAATATACAATGGTCTGGTAAGTCGCCAGTGTCTTTGTTTACATGGAGGCTGGATACATACAAAGCTGTGAGTTCTGTGTTATTAAAAGATTTTGTGCAAAGAAAAGGAATGTCGAATGGACCAAAACAGTTGTGTTGCTATGGGATGAGCCTCATTTCATACAATATAACGTAATTATTCCTATTATAATGTCAAAACTTTTCTATTGCTAAAACATAGACAATTTGGTTGATTCCGCTAACAGGACACATCTCATTATAGTGCACTTGTGGAATATTCTTGCACATCACAACAGGTGACCATGCACAGGGTCAGTGTTCAAGGTTCATGGCTGATTAAAGTCTGAAAATACTCATCTTTGAAATCAGTGAAAACAAATGTGTTGACTGTAAACGCTGCTGCTGCCATTGAACATCTGTTGTGGCTACCATTGAACAGTGTAAAACAATGTAACAAAATGTCTCAAAAATCCTTGACTGAAAATACGATGTTCACATAACATAGGGTCTCAGCTGAAGCAAGCACCTGTTTTTGAATCCACCAGACAAGAAGCTTCCAGGTAAATGTGTGTCGGGGAGGCGAATCTTTAACAATTTGAAAGAATTCCACATACTGTATGATCGATAGGCGGCGATAGACTGGTTATTATTATAGATCCATGTTGACGAGACGCATTTCTGAAGAGATCAGGCTCATAGGCTGTGTAACTCAAAGAAAGCACTTTGGTTGTATGAAAATATTGTGAATCTATCTCTGACCCTTGTGACTCAGTAATGTGGCTTTCTTTGTTCTTGTTCAGTTCTTTTGTTTTTTATATATGTGTCAGATTTAGAAAGAGAACCTTTCTTTGTCCCACTTTGGAGGCATATTCCAGTGTTGCTATTTACTGTCTGGTTGAAGCGGATATTAGGGCTATAAGACAATGGTAGGAATGTGTATACTTATATACAAACACTGGTCAGTTACTTTCTTTTATATGACTGATACACTTATACTCATGAAAAGAGCAAGTGGTTAGCACTCCCGTTTCTCAGCAAGAAGGTCCTGGATTCGAATCCCTGTCGGATCAGTGAATTCTGAGAGGAGTTTGCAAGTTCTCCCTATGCTTGCTGGGTGCCTCCGGGTGCCCCGGTTTCCCCTACCACTAAAACATGAAGAGGGCATATTTCCCCACGGGGATATTAAAGTACAATTTAACTTAAATAACCGGAAACAGATCAACAACACTGAGTTGTTGTAATTAATCAATGCATTAATCAGCCCTTTCTGAGCACTTTCCTTTGTTTTTCGAGGTGCGTCGTCTAGAGGATGTCCACCTGTCAGTGCCATGGTCAGTGCTTATGTCTCATGTTGATTCTCATTGGTCGTTGTGCCTGTCACTCACAGGTCTCAGGCGCCGATGGGCGGAGCGCAGCAGGAGCACGGCGGCTGGGGAGGCGGTGTGTTCAGAGGCGGCGCGACTGTCAATCGTGCTCCTAATTCTCGGCAAAAGTCTCCTGCAGTTGCACGGAGCAGGACGGAGATCATTCTCGTGGATGTGTTTCAGTTTAAGGGATGTGCAGATGCGCGCACAGAGCTGCCGGAGATCTGGATTTCACGCTTACCACCGATAAACTTCTCATCTTTCTACACTTTGTTGACATCGACGTGTTTTGGTCTCAGCTCTGATTTTAAGTCAGTTTTTTGGATTTGCTTTTGCGGACAAACCTGTGCATTCACACACTAGTCACACCAGGAACAGAATCTGGTCCACCAGGATTGTGTCTTTACGCGCTTTGTGCCTGGAAGCAGTGGGAGAAAGGGAACTTGACTTGTTGCGCGTAACTCGTCTACAGAGAGCGCACGAGTTTCTGTCCAAGTTGGTTGTGTACTTGTGGTGGCCAGCTTTCCGATCTGGTTTGCACGTTTCCATCACAGGCGAGATGTTTTTTGGGAGTCAGCCGTAGTGCAAAAGCCTCTGACAGCCTGGTGCTCAGTGAGAGATTCTGCGCACAATTACTGAAATTGGGTCGCTTTGTCTCCTCCAGTCAGACCGAAAATGATGTAGAAGAAACCTATTTGAGGCATCCCTGCACAGCCAGGACAAACTTTGTCTGCTTCACGAGTTTATCCATTTTTCCCGTGTAAACAGTGAAGCGCCGTAGCCTACACCGAGTCAACATGTCTGAGCGGGATGGATCTGGAGACGGGCTGTGCAGCGATGGAGCGCCAGACTGCATCCCTCCCAGAGCGTCCCGCGGGCGCAGGAGCGGGGTGATCGTGCCCGGAGGTGGCCCGGACACAGACACCATTCTTCTGGAGTCTGTGAAGGCAGCACCTCGTAGGAGCAGCATCATCAAGGTAAAGCTTTATGTGACAAAAGCAGTGCTCACGTCTCCATGATGGGCGATGCAAACATGTCCATGCTGTAGCCATCAGAAAATATGTTCTATTAGTTCTGTTGAGGGATAGCATCGTTTTCCTTTAATGGATAGAGTTAGTTGGTGAATACAGATAGTTTACTTGAAATATTGCTGCATCGTTGTTACAAGAAATCCCGTGGGGGAAATAGTATGAATATCTTTGTTAGTTAGACAGTTTGTTTATTGTGCATAGAATGGGGACAATGTAACCATTAGTCTTTACAAAAGATTTGCACCAGATTTATCTGCAGCTACTTTCCATCTGCAGTCCCTGGGCAGGTGAACACACATAGATACGCATCACAATTATAAAAACAAACTTACCTCACAAAACAATACAACCATAAATACTTGACATGTTCTTTCTATAATAACATAGGCTAAACAAATACAATATCTAATACAATAAATGTTCATTGATGCTGACACGATTGACTAGCTAAAATGTGCCTTTTCAAAATTCTAGTAAAATCTAAAATGTTTCAGATCTATATAACATTTCAGACTGATTCCACTGTTTAATAGCGTGAAATATGAAGGCTGATTGTGCAAAAGCCGAGGAGTCACTATAATCTCTATTCAACTTAAATACATGTATCAAGAATTGGTTTGCACAAAAATCTGCCACACATCTCTGGGAGGCTCATGGTCTCCCCCAACACACACACCATTTGTGAATATAAAGAAAACCACCGACCCACTGACCAGTAAACGTCAGACCTGTGCTCATGTTGCGGCTCACTGTGTCCTACCCGCCACACGACTTCAGGGTGGGGACCAGAAAAGGATCAAGTTTTAGGGAAGTATCACAGGGGCCATCGTACGTATCCTCTCGCTGCTCTACAGGTCGAATGTCACTGCTACAGGAAGCTCATTAAACACAACCAGATGGGATTGAGGCGGCTAAAGGACAGCTACGATCATCCACACATGCGGCTTGTGTCATCAGATGCCAATGGGTTGCAGTGTATGATATGATGTTTCATTTAGGCAAGGCCAGGCGAGTTTATTGGTATAGCACCGTTCATACACAAGAACAAAACAAGAGAGAAACCAGCACACAGGCATTAGAGTATCGAAAAATTGCAGTACATGAAAAAGAGTGAAGGTGGAATACATTTGTATGCACAGCTGGACAGAACTGTTTTTAATCTGGATTTGAACAGTGTCAGAGTAGAAGCCTGTCTCACATTTTAAAGAAGGCTGCTCCATATTGTAACTGCATGAATCTGAAATGCTACCTCCCCATGTTTAGTTTTCAATATATCGTCCTAAAGAAACTGTGCTTGATATATGCCGATGTTGAAGGTATAGAAATCGACCAAGCTCTATTGTATATGATAATTTGTTATTTTCTTTCGATTTTTTAAAAACCTGATACTCTCATCTGTGATGTTTTGTGGCCCAGTGACTCAGAGTCCCATCTGGAAGAACAGTGAGCCCTTTGACAGCTGAGGCAGTAGAGGAGAGGACAGAGGAGATGCTGATGTCAGTGACAGCCTCGGTCAGCGGTGACAGAACTCAACCCTCAGAGCTTCTCAGGCTGAAGTCTCGTTTTAAATACCAGTACAAATGTCACAGATGAGCTAAGTCCAGGTCCAAGCACAAGGACACTGGTCCGTATTGATCATCGTTAAAGCAAAGAGTATTTCCCAAAAGTCACTATTATTTTACATATTTTGTACAATTATGATGTATGTGGAATCCTCTGTGTGCCGCCGTGCCATTGAACACTAGACACTTTACTATTTATGCAAAAATTAACTTGGAAAATTGTGCATGAATTCACACAATCTCATTCTACAAGAACAAGAATTATTCCACTAGTTCAGCCAGCACCCTAAAGTGATTTTCATTGAAATCATATAAAAAAGCTTGAACTTGAAGGAAACTATTTTCCCCACCAAGGTCATATTTCCAAACTTGCAGAAAACAAATTGAAAGGCAAGGCAACATTTCAAATATCCCTCCTGCTCTCGCTGATCAAATATTTACAGTAGTATCGTGATTATTGCAAATGTCACTAATACAGCATGTCACAGGTGTTCTTAAATCCCATAAAAAACATAAATGCTCCGAGTTTAGGGTAAGTCTTTTAAGAAGGACCACCTAAACTGCAGCTTTGAGACTGACTTCTTTGACATCTCACATTACTGCAACAACGCACTGCCGCACACACTGCCGCTCTCTCTCACACACACAGTGCTGTTTGTTCTGCTCCCCCAGCGCAACACACATGCAGCTAATTAAGATACACGCACACATGCACAGACATACACACATGCAGACATATGCGCAGACACAGACACACACAAACACACGTGCAGACACACAGAGACTCACACTCACACATGTACAAATACACACATGCAGACACACACTCATTTACACATCAGCACCACAACTGATTGGAGACTGTGAATGTAAATAAGCCTAAAGCACGCTCTGGAGTAATGTTTACAATTGATACATGGATGGTCTTATTTTTAATGGTCTTTTGGATAAATGATTAAAAATCTCTCAGCTCTGCGCTTGATGTGATCTGATCTTTGGTGGATTTGTAACGTATAAGCTACTCAGACAGAATTTGTGAAACCATGCAGAGCAAAGATTCCCAAACTTTTCAGACCCCAAAGTACGCACAAACTGGACCTGCGACCCCCACAACACAACACAACACTGAGAGGAGCCAAACTATGAAAACATATGGAATGAACTGCAATGTCGAGTCATGTGTTCTGTGTCTGACCTATAACATATTCTTTATTAATCAAGCCAGCTCACTAAATAGACATCTTTAGTTAACGCATTGCATTTAAACATACACATGGTTATAATTAAAAGTACATGAAAATATCAATAATTCCCTCTATGTGCGGTTATATCCATTTTCTTATTTAAAATGACATCACATTTTTAGTTTTTCTACAAGGAATCTGTCCACATGGGGGTTGTGAGAGCAATAACATGTACTCATCTTTTAACCTGCAAAGCCACAAATAACTGCAGCTCTCAGTCTCATCCATTTAATAAATATATTAGTTGGTTTGGCCTTTTGAAAGATGACCTTTAGCTACTGGTATTCTAGGTAGGATAAATGATGCAGTGGAAACTTTATCAAAACTTTGCAAATTGGACCAACATTTTGACCTTTTCTAATCTGAAATGGAAACTTCAATTATTACAAGTTTTTTTTGTTTTTCTAGTTCTTTGCATAACTTAGATTTCTGTTCATTGCACATCTTTGTGTGTTTGGTCTTATTGGGCCCCTCAAGCAAGACTTGAATTCATATTATACAGTATTAACTGCAATGTACAAATATATCCAGGCTAAATACATGTGACTTTTAGCCTTTAACCCTATTATCTAAATGTTCTGCCTTCTATACTTATCTTTATATCTTGATGTAGTTAATTTTAATATCTGTGAGTATAGTTGGCTTTTAATTTAAACAATTGAATTAGTGATATCTTGTATTATACTCTGGCATTACAGACATCAGGCCCTAACAAAAGTTTGACACATATCCAATGCTTTCAGAAAGTTTAAAAAGCTTCAGCCTTATTCCTAAATGCATCAAATAATGTTTATTCTTGTCAATCTACTCACAATACCCTAAGCATCAAATGATTGGATTTTTAGGTGACCCGGATCACTTTCTGGATCCAGGTATTTATTGTATCCGTATTGCCTGAACCCTAAACATACCTTACCCAGTAAATGTGCAATTTTGTATCATACTGTGTCATAATGTGTCCACTGGGCGTCACGTAACTGTATCCGCCATGTATGATCCACACACTGCAAACATTCCCTGTAATGAGCTTTATTTTATCCTTTCTTCTGCCAATAGTGAACAAGATTCATACAAACAAAGTATACATTCAAATATCTTAAACTATTATTCAGACCAAAAGGGTCAGACTCTTTCTGGTTGGGTTCTAATCTTATGGGTAAAGGCTTTGTGTGACCTAGCTCTGTGAAATGCCTTATGTAAATAAAGAGAACCCAGGACTTTACAGAATGTCCTGAGTTTGAATCCCAACCTTTGTGAGTGGAGTTTGCATGCTCTCCCTGTGTCTAGGTAGGTTTCCTGCGTGCGCTCCGGTTTTCACATCCTCCACATCCACCTGTTGTTGTTTTGCTTCCTCGTCATAATGAATCTTGAATGGCACTTTGCAACACTGACATTTCCTTATTGTGGGACAATATCACATCCTAGCCTATCCTTCAAGATCGCTTAACTTTAAATCCTCTGGTTGCTCTAATAATACAGGTTTTACAACATAAGGGTCTGAATTCTGTCCTCATGAATTCAAGGTTTTAGGACCCCAAAATGTGACAAATACCGACCCACACACAGCAGACACACGCACACAGGTTTAGCAGGTTTAGGGGAGTAGACAGGGGAGCTGCTGGAGTGGCTGACAGCTCAGTGTGTTGCCTAACTGCCTTAAGCTCTGAAGGACACTGCCCCATCTCCTCCGCTGCTCTGCGAAGAGTGGAGCGTGCAGCCTTGGTGTCTGCAAGCTCGACGTTAACAATGTATTTACAAAGGAGGTAAGAAATTGGCCCCTTTGGTGTCCATTGATGATTAAATTAGAAAGAGAATAATAGTTGTAGATAAATATATAATTATGTATTTATAAAGGAGATGGTGGCTATCCTCAAATTCATTATAAGTGATACTGCATCTACTTTATTGAGTGAGCAACAATCCAAAATCAAAATCAGACAGCTCCATTGTGAGAACCGCGCGTTGTCGGTACATATAGCTCTTTGTCCACATTTCAAAACGTATTTGAAGAGACGAGAGCATTCATACACTGTTATATTGTGGTGGTGAGAAATGCGATCAGACTCGAACTGGAGGTATGCGACTTGGAATAACGTTTATTTATTTCAAACCTGCGCACACACACAGTCATCACATACTGTTAAGTTTCAGGACACAGGTTTGATAGTGTCAGAGTGTTCTT